ATATATATATATATATACAGAGAGAGAGAGAGAGTGTGTGTTGTGGTCTGACCAAACTAAAATTGAACTGTTTGGCCATAATGACCATCGTTACATTTGGAGGAAAGAGGGGGAAGCTTGCAAGCCTGAGAACACCATCCTGACTGTTAAACACAGAGGTGGCAGCATTATGTTGTGGGATTGTTTTGCTGCAGGAGGGACTGGTGCACGTCACACAATAGCTGCCATCGTGAGGAAAGAACATTATTCAATTCAATTCAAAAAATGTATTAATTTCATTAAAAAACAAAATAACTATATACAATAGAAAACAAAAAAAATAGACAAATCAAAATAAATGTGGAAATTATGTGGAAATACTGAAGCAACATCTCAAGACATCAGCCAGAAAGTTAAAGCTTGGGCACAAATGGGTGTTCCAAATGGACAATGACCTGAAGCATACTGCCTAACCGGTTACAAAATGGCTCAAGGATTACAAAGTCAGTGTTAGAGTGGGCATCAAAAAGCCTTGATCTCAATCCTATAGAAAATTTATGGGCAAAGCTGAAAAGTAGGGATGCATGATATATCGGTGTTGATATCGGTATTTACCGATATTGGTCATTTTTTAGAATATCGGTATTGGTCCGATATGTAAAACTGGGCCGATATTAACACCCGATATTGATTTCCCACTTTTTATCTTTGTGTTTCTGTTTTGGGAGAGGAGATGTTTGGTTGGGCAGCATCTGTTTGATCACGATAGTGATATTGACGCTGCGTAGCCAGGAATGACGGAAGTAGAGAGCCATGTCAGAGGTCTGGTTGTTTATTTGCGGTATCAAAAAAAGACCCAATTGTGTTTGTGTGTATATGTATAATATAATTTGTGTGTTTGTGTAATATCGGTAAATATCGGTTATCGGCCATAACATCAATAATTATATCGGATATGGATATCGGCTGAAATTTTCAAATCGGTGTATCCCTACTGAAAAAGCGAGCAAGGCGGCCTAAAAACATGACTTAGTTCCACCAGTTCTGTCGGGAGGAATGGGTCAAAATTCCAGCCAACTATTGTGATAAGCTGGTGGAAGGATTTCCAAAATGTTTGACCAAAGTCAAACAGTTTAAAGGCAATGGTAACAAATACTAATGAAGTGTATTTAAACATTTGACTTTGAAGAAAGTAATAAAAATTGCCGTAAAATATTCTCTCTCTCATTGTTCTTGCATTCAGCAAATAGAAAAAAAAAGTTTATTCTGATTTCACATAAGACAATGTGAAAAAAATACATGTGTCTTTTTATATAGTGTATGTAAACTTCTGTTTTCAACTGTAAGTACTAATAAACAACTCACAGCCTATTCTGGTAAAAAAGTTAAGAGTCCATATTTTAGAGATTGTATAGCTAATTATAAACCAAGTCAGGTACAAGAAACACACCAGGAATAAGATGTCACAATCAGTCATGTCTTTCAGCCACAATTACTTTTCTGCACTCTGCAGTTCAGCAGCATGAGTTCAAACAAAAGCTTGATTAAAAGTCGTTTCACTCATCCTCAAAGAAAATATAATGCTCACATTCATTATGGAAATAGTTACCATCTTGTTATAAATAATTCATGAAAACATAAAAAAGAGGCCATAAATATAAACCCCTTTGTAATAAGTGTCCACGATAAGTGTCAGCTGTAAAATAAAGTGTGTTTCTATAAAACTTGGCAGGCACAGTAGATCTTTTTCACACCGTCCTGTGAAAAATCAAAGTGAGATTATATCATGTTGTGAGGAAGCATGTCAGTGGCAGGAACACAGAGATGTGCGAGTACAAAAAGGAACAATGTGATGACATTTTTCTTTTGAGAAAAATCTGCTTCATACGGTAAGACGCTCAGGCACAACAAAAGTGTGTACAAATGAACACAAAAACAGCATTGTGCAAAATCTTGACCAAGCTCAACAGCTGAGGTACTTTAACACGCTGTCACAGAGAGACATCGTTTTTATCACATTTTTTGTATGGTGCAAATTCAAAAATTAAAAAAAAAAAATGTGATGCATAAAGAATTTCACTAATAACCTTAAACAACATGAGTAGATGGACAAAGTGAAAGATGATTTTCATCTCAGTTTCTGGGTAAAATGTTCTTTATGTTAATGTCTGGGTAAAAGATTTTTCCTTTTGTTTTAAGGTGATATCTATTAAATGTATATTATTTCCTTTAGAGGTTTCTGTTTTGGCCCTGTGATGTACTTGCGAACTGTCCAGGCTGTGCCCCGTCTCTTGCACAGTGACCCCTGTGAAAGCGAGTTAAGATAATGGATGTTTCTGTTTCCATGTGGGGGCTATGGTAGCACAGTAATAAGCACCGCAATAATTTGGGTGATGAGTTATCTGAGCTTAAGGCCCTGCAACACTAGACAACTTATGCCAACTTATTAACCATTTTTATATCTAAATTGCTAATAAAAGTTATATATTTGATCAGTTTGTTCAAACTACATTATGTATATGGTGAAAAGAAGCTTCCTGTTAATTTTTTTCAATTCCATCTTCAATGTAGATGTCTTTAAAATGTTCATAAGTTGGCATAAGTTGTCTTGTGTGACAGTGTCTTTACGTTGGTTTATCACTTGATTAGGGTGCTTTTTGTATGTCAGAAAGATTCACATCTGCTTTATTTAGGATGATAAACGATTGATATTAAAATAACAGACAAGGTCTTGGAAAAACAAAACAAAAAACATCAGAATTGATGAAAATATGTGAAGCATTGGCTACGTTCACACTGCAGGCAAATCCGACCCAAATCCGATTTTTTTGACCCATCTGACTCATATCCGATTTTTTTATGACAGTCTGAACGCGACAAATCCGATTTTTTCAAATCCGACCCAGGCTGTTTCAGTATGTGGTTTTAAATCGGATATATATCTGATGTTTTCAAAGTGACTGCAGTGTGAACACTCATGTCACATTCATCTGACTTTTTCATCAGTGAGGTGGGGATGGAAGATCGATAAGATCCTAACCTCAAGTCACGCTGTTTAAATCTGTAGTTCCATGTGTTTACAGCACTGTGTCACTGTATCACTGTGTCCAGTGATACAGATGTATCACTGGACACAG